AGAGAATAGCACTGGTTGGCAGACGCAGTTTTTGTGATGCAGACGATTCTGATGCTTAGAGGGAGCGTTCCGCATTTGTAGGGGGCTTTAAAATGAAATAGTCATGTTGAAGATCATTTGGTATATTTCACAGTCCTATCCTTTTTAGACCTAGCCCTTCTAGTTTCTGAGTAACGCGCCCGCGAAGATATGCAGACTATATAGGAGAGACTTTTTCAAGGTCACCCAGGAATCCACGACGCCATAATATCATTTAAAACATGCCGTTCCATTGGCCACGCAGCGATCAAGGCGAACACAAACATAATTGTCGAGTTGTTCATATCTGGCATTTGCGAACACGATACCAGATATAACGGTCACTAATTATCTCCCAATCAACGTAAAACGTACGATAGCGCAATCAAACAATGACGCATTGAGAAGCATGTCCACTAAACAGATAACTTGTATTGTCTAGAGCAGTATTTTCCACTTAAAAGTAAACCGATAGTTATAAGTCAGCTTATTTCAGCATATGCCTGCCTGCTTCAATACCTTCAAATGTGGAATATTCGCTTTAAAGATGAACCGGTTACTTTTGGTCTATATGATTTCGGCACCATTTGGCCATCAAGGCTGACTGAGAATTTAGGTTTTTTATTGAAGCTAGTTTTTACGCTAATGACCATTCTGATAACGAATCTGAGATCGCCCGGTATTTTTGGTGTGGAGTTTCTAGCCCTTTTAACCTGAATTCAACCTTAAAATGTTCGTTTGAGAGGCCAGCACTTTTTGACGGACGCTAGTTCTTGTCTAGGTCCTTATTCCGATGTTTGAAAATCCGAAATCGGCCGGTAGGTTTTTTGTAACAGGAAGCTTTCCATCCTTTGAGCCCGAGTTTTACCCTAAAGGTTACCCTCAGACGTTGACCTTGGAGAAAGACGTTGAGAGATCAGGCTCTCAGGCAGACGTCAAGTCATGGTCTGTGTATAATTATTTTGTTTAAATGCCCGAAAAAGGCCGTTAGTTTTGGGTTATGATATCATGTCATTCGCCCTTAAAGGGTTACCTTGAGAGGTCAGGACTTTTTGACGGATGTTAAAAGAAATGTTTCGCATTTGAGGATATGGAAGTGAGGATCATACACGATAAAAAAGTTCAGTTATAGCTATTGACATACTTTTAAGAGAAAAAGCTGTTCTAGACAGCACAATTCTCTGTTAAGTAAATATGTTCCTCACTCCGTCATTGCTTGATTGCATTATCGTACCTTGCACAACATTGGCTGAGAGCCAATGAACGGCCGCTATATCTGGAAATCGCGCGCACGAACGCCATGCCTGAATGCCTCGACAATTGTATTTTTCTTGGCCTGGATTGCCGCATGGCTCATGGAATGGCAAAATGTTAATAACGTTATTATGGCGTCGTGAATGTAAAGGTGACTTTGAAATACCCTCCCCGATATACCTTTCCTCATTTTCGCGGGCGTGTGGCTCAGAAACTATAGGGGCTTAGGTCTTAGGGGCGGGATTGTAAACGGCGCCGAAAGGTCTTCAAGAAGTTTATTTTGGTCCAAACCCCGATGCAAGTGCGGAACACTCCCTTCAATTAATCCGCTAGTGATTATTCCGATCCTTCAAGATCCGAAATCGGCCGGCAATTTGGTGTGTGATAAGTTTTTCTTCCTTTGAGACTGAATGTGGGCCGGAAGAGCGACCTCGAGAGGCCAGTGTTGTTGCCGGATGCTAGTTCATGCGTTAGTGATTGTTCTGGTTGTGAAAAAGCGAAACCGATGCCTTTTTTGGTGACGTCGATTTCCCAACCATTGTCCCTGAGTTTACCGTAAAATGGTGACCTTGAAAGGTCAAAAGTCTTTGACGGACGTTGTTCCAGTCTGTAGTGGTTGTTCCGATGCTCAAAAATTTGAAATCGTCTGTTTTTTTGTGGTTATTTGGAGTCTCGTCCTTTGGCCCTGAATTTGGCCTTGAAGGATGAACTCGGGAAGTCAGGACTACTGACAGACTACTTTATCCGCTGAAGACGATCCTGATGCGTAGAAATTGGAAATCAGCCAGTAACTTTTGGGAATGAGTGATTTTGCGCCATTTCAACTATAAGAGTGACCTCGATAGTATATGCCTTTTTGACGGACGCTAGTTCATGTGCTAGCGACTGTTCTGATGTTCAAAAGTCCCAAATCGGTTTATGATGTTTAGGGCTACGGAATTCTCTTCCTTGAGCAGGAATTTGGCCTTATCTTTCCTTGAGGGGGTCAGGAGTTTTTACGAACGCTAGTTCCTTTGTTGGCGGATATAACCATGCTTGATCATTCGAAATCAGTTGGAAACTTTTGGCAAAAGTGATTTCCTCGTCCTTTGGGCCTCAATTTGGCCTTGTCGGAAGCCATTGAGAGTTGAGGAGTTTTCAACGGACAATAGCTCAAATGATGGCCAATATTCTGATGCCCAAATCCGAAATCAGTCACCAATTTTTCGGCGATATGAAGACTGGAGTTCCCTGTCCTTGCATCTTGAATTTGTCCCCGGAGGTTATGTGATATTGTAAAATAGAATACTCATTCGGTGTTCTCGTGCCCTAATTGACCAAATGACGTTTTTCAGTGAAATCGCAACCCTTCGCTGCATAAATCGCTGAACAAATCGCCAACTTCACGGGCATCAAGTTCAGTGCGTCTATGTTCACACGGCCAGAGATCAGCAGGCATTATCACCGCATTTTGGACGTAAGAACTGCTTGCTTAGTAGCCATTGGGTGTGGGCGTGGCGGTGGACCATGCCCCGGGACAGTGTGTCAGCATGTAAGGCGAGTGGGGCGATGACTCATGTCTGAGTGAGGAGAACAATCACGGCTCGGGGCGGTGCGTCACGGTGGCGCCGGCCAGTCGCACGCAGATCGTGTTGCGGGTATGAGCCCTGGAAGCAGTATAAGAGGTGCTGCTCGGGCGCGTGGGGTGGGCCTCTCCCTGTCGGCGTCGTGTGCGGCAGGTCACCGCTGCGTCTGAGGCAGTCCGACCGAGAATTATTTTCATCATCGAATACAGTGCGGCATTGCAACGCAGTACGGTTGAGGCGGCCACGGGCTTTTTAATAACAGCTCAAAGCCTTTTGATCACACGTATTTTCAGGCTGGGCGCCCACGCTAGGCAGTGTTCGTTTGGTAGGCCCTGACACGATGGTAAACTTCTGGATCAACGGTAGAAATTTGCAGCGAAAGCTTATCGTATCGCAATGCTCGGCACGGTTCCTGCCCTCTGACCCTACCTAACCGTTAGCGCGCTCACTGCCACCGGCCGCAGATTATACCAGTCAGGAACAAATAGCAACCGCCCAAAGCGACCCGAACCTGCTCCGCCGTAAGTCAGTAAATCGTCATTCAGGCCATGTGAAGTCTGTTTCTTGACTTCTGTGAAGTCAGTTTCTAGGGAATCGTTCAATCTGATGCAGCAACGGAGTGTTACACATGATCATACATCTCTTAGATACTTTCTTAGGCAACACGACAATTGAGTGAACAAATTCAATTGACCTAGGATTAGTTTTGAAGAGCCAGACCAAGGTCAAAGCCAATCTGTTTTTGTACTCTAGGGTTTGCTGTATGGGATGGTTTCTGGTGCTCATTTCGAATTTATTGATAACAGGAACCGCATTAGACATCTTCCATGCACTTCTCATAGGTCACTGACCTAAGATGACCCAGTTTAACTTTTGTTTTTAGAAACATACCGCCTAACGTAATCTTTGTCGCTTATTCAAATGCAAAACTTAAAGAAGTCTGATATGATTTTGGTCCCCATGACCTTCGAAAGGTCAAACAAGATCACTGACCTTAAATGATCATATGACCTTTTGCTAAGAATAGGTGTCTAGGTATTAAGGGCACTTTGGAGACCAACCTGGATATTGATCTTGTTTAACCTTACCTGACACGAAGGTCACGGCCGAGGAACCTTAAACTTTGACCTGAGTGAGTTCAGGCACAGGCCAAAACACCCTGTAAATTGGGTGTTTCTAACTTCCTTAGTTCCTGAGATCTCAAGGGGTCGAATTGACTCTCCCACTCGAGCGAAGGTTGTCCAACCGGCCACCCGGGTGCGTGATAATATACGATAGCAGACAATTCCGTACAGAGGCTGCGCGATATGAAAAGACGCTCTGTGTTGGGCGAGCCAGCGCCCCGGAGGTGGAAGCTGGCCCTGGCAGAGGTGCCTGTTCCATACGAGGACACGGCGGCACACCTTGTTAACAGCGCCCGACAGGTGCTGGACAGGTGCTGAACAGGATCTCGACAGGTGCACGCCCTCCGGCGTCAGTACCATGAAAACGTTGACCGCGTCACGGTGCGCCACCATAGTCTCACTGGTCTCGATACTTGGCCATCCGGGAGAGTTTAGAGCTGGGGTAGTGTGGTGGTGTTTTTTTTTTGTACCCAGCAATGCTCCTAACCGCGAATTTTCGAACTTAATGCAGCTAGCCCTCAGCATTTTCATCCCACACGTCGATGATACATTGCATGAAGAGATACGCACTCATGGACAACAACTTTGATGACGACTTCCGACGAGCGATAGTGCCGAAGAGAGCCAGGGGTGAGACAAAGCCGTGCTCCGGGTCAGGCGCGGCCGGCTGCCAAGCCGACCGGCCCTGACGGCACGCGGCCACGCTCCGTGCTGTGGGGCCGACCTTGGCCGCGGCCGGTGCTGCCGCAGAGTCGGCGGGGGCCGGAGCTGGCCGGCCAGGCGCACCGGACGTGAGGTGGTGGGCGGCGCAGATCAGGCAGGCAGGCTCTGTCACTGAGGTGGGGCAACATGACCGCACACCAGTGGTGCACTTCCAGATGTGTACGCCTTGGCGTCAGCGCAGCACCCGAGCGCGTGGCAACAGTGCTATCGTGGACTGCCAGTTCTTTGCTGCTAAATTTGGTGGAAAGAATCATCGTGATCCGGATGAGTTGCAGAACACGATGTGAAATGAATCACTTTCATCTTCAACCTCTTAACTTTTTTGAAGTCATGCTATCCGTTCTTTGTGAATTTGTATTGGATCATCCATTGACTACAACTGCATCATTTGCAGCATACGTGATCTACAACTATCCTCAAACAGTAACCTTATTGGTACACATCAGGCGCCCTAGTCCTACCACGAAAAATCGAAATGATGTACTTGGGTTTCACCCATATTTCACGCCTGGTGAGCATCTGATGATCTTGGGAACAAACTGGCCATTGGAGAGGGAGAGGAGGGGATATAGGGACAACTGAAACAGTGTGATCGTCGCTGCCTGCAAGGGATACGCAAAGACAACAGAGGAAGCGATACATGACCTCGGTCTCATCCTTCTCCCTCCAGTAACGACGATACCGTTTTAAAGCCATCGAAACATTGAGCTAAGCGTCCTAAGCACAATGCAGCTCGAACAGTGCTATAAATTTGCTGACCTGTCTAACCCACAGCATAACTTCTGACGAGGTAATACCAGTCACAACACCCGAGGAATATCCGTACAGCCGAGAACAAGGCACAGCGTAACAACAAGCACCGTGCCAATCATGAACAATCACAGCAGTATCACCCAGCTGAGTAAATGCCTGATTAAGCCACCTTTCCAGCCGTGGCGGGACTAAACCCGACGCCAATCGCTGGCTTTTCACGTCCGTGGTGCCGGCCTGGAGCGTCTCGCACACGACTGCGGCACGACAGAGCAGGCCCGGCCGCCCCGGGGCGAACCACAGCGCCCACCGCCCAACCATCTACCGGCACCCCCGCCGCGAGGGGCTCGGTCTCGCTCACGAGAGCACGAACATGTCGACGCTCAGCTGGCAGGCGGTCTGGACGGACTCCACTGTACTCGGCGCGTCTGGAACGGAACACGGTGGTGTATGCGTCACGAACCGCTCCGGCGCGTCACAAACGGCCTCGGACCGGCGCGGCACGTCGGCCGGCTCGGGCGCGCCGTCCAGCCTGCTGCAGCTGCCGACAGACAGCCGTCCAGGCGCCGTGTGGTACGTCGTTGAATGTCGTCTGGGTCTTCATGTACTAAGATGTTGTTTTATGTGTTGTGCGCAGTGTCCAGCATCCCACTCATTTCGTCCGTTTATGGAACGGGAGTGCTGGTGGCGGCATAATAAAAACTACTGTGCTTGGAAGAATCAAAGACATTTTCCGCCCTAATTTGTTACGAGGAGTTCGATTAATTTTCGAGTGAAAATAATTTCCGAGAGAATATAGCTATTGAAAACAAAACAGCACAGCGGAACGAAGCTAAAGTCGATGAGTCCGGGAGACCAATCTCTCAAGCAGAACACAAAGCTTACCAAGCTGAGTCCAGTTGACTTTTCCGGCGTCCTTGCGAGCTGCCGCGACGGCCTGCCTCAGCGCGCTCAGGCAGCTGAACGTCACACACAGCGGAGGCTCGCCGGTGGCTGCAGCACAGGCAGCATGTCACGGGGTCACGCTATGCTGCCACTCACGCTCGCCGTGGCCGATTATCCAGAGAAAGGGCGAACCCTCTAGTTCGGGTTTGGGTATGGGTCTGTTTCCATCAAAGCAAGTCCGTCAAATTGCATATCGAAACAAGTTGGCGCCAGCTGGCTTAAAAAGCACATAGCATAACAGCAAACAGGCACATAAACAGCTTTTCGCGGTAAATGCCTGCCGAATTGTGGAACCATGGAAATATTTCGGGGCGTCGGACTGACCTTTCGAGTTGAAAACACCGACGGGGTTGTAGTTGTTTTTCAAGAGCTTGACACGGAAGTCGGTCGGTATGTCCTTGCTGGATGGCACGAAGTAGCTCTGGGGACGAGAAAACAGTACTCGCTCTTGAAGTGGTGGACCACCAGTCTTGAAGCGGCTTGCAGTTGTGGTGTTTGTCTCTTTACATGCCAAAATACTAGGCGATTTTCGCAGCTACCCGACCTTTACTGCTCCGTTAAGGCGCAAGCCATTCGCGTGCGCTTCTAATGCGCGGTGGAGAAAGTTGGCTGCTACAAGTTCTACGCAATTCAAACTTACAGAATCGCGATATTTTTTCCAATAATCTCGGCGAGCCGTTTGGCCGGCTCGCGCACGCTGCCAAATGGCCAGTCCTCGACCAGCTTATGCTCCCATTCCCTATCTTCTTCCTCATCAAGACCAAGCAGCCGAGACTGGCTTCTGACATCCCCAATGACGTTCCCCAGACTGGTGGCCCATGTTTCGCCGCCCCACCTCACCCGCAAAAAAGACTGCACCAGCAAGGCTATCTCGCATAGCGATGCGCTAGCTCAGCCTCTCACTTCGTCTTCCTTGCCATTTTTTTGCATCAGGTCTTAACAAACATCGTAATAATATCGTTTTGGTCTTAACACAAACAATCCACAGTGTTACAGGCTGCATGTGACGTAGTTTGTGCTAGCTAACCGCATACATGAGCGAAAAATGCGTGTTTCTGGTAATCGTCGCAAAATCGTCAGTCTCGCTGACTCGTATCAATTAGGTAACTGACTCGCGCACCAGTAACAGGATGCTCTGAACCACCGCATTCTACGACTCAGTGCAGCTGCGCCAAGGTCAAATTAGACAACTGTGTTATTTTTTATTTTTAACTATTACTTTGAAATTGTTTTCCTTGTCCTATATAATATATAATAATTATATGTAATTATATAATAAATAATAAAAATTATATATAAAAAATATATAAAAAATAATTATATATAATAATAATAACATATAATCATTCTACTCTTATTCAGCATTCCATCAAGTTCCAAAGAGGATTATGTAATATTTGTTACAACAGCTGGTATCGTTTTCACGATCCGCTTTTTGTAGAGAAGCGTGTGGAATGAGTTGACCTTTCTTTGAAAAGTCCGCCACGGCTGACGGTGTAAGAGACAATGTACCATAAAATCTTACAAATTAGGAAGGATACAAATTTGGTAGATTAACGGTAGATTTCCGTTTACACATGGGTAGAAGAACGTAATTAAAGCAGGGAATCTTTATAGGCTGCATAACGGCTAAGAACTCCATGAAGAAACCAAATGTAAAGAGATAACAATGATGGAAAACTTGTTGCGCAGCCAACGAAATAAGCCATCTTAACATGCACATCTGTTCCCGGAAGTTTTTTTATTTATTATCCATTCTTAGTCCAATTTTTTTTTTTGGCGTAATGTGATCGGCCGCGGATAAAAAGGTCGAGTGGCCTTGCCAGCGGGGAAGTCAGCGCCCAAGCAGCAGGCGACGAATAGTTACGTTGCGCCAACTACCGGACAGGAAAAACTGCGATATATTAGCCAGAACCCGAGTGTTGGACATCTCCACTACTAGATGACGAGGGCTCTGGCCAGGACATGCGGTCTGAAACGCCTGCAGTCTCAGCCCAAGTCAGCCTAGCCATGACGAAAGCGCGGAGGGGCGGCCAGCTTGCCTATCGTTAAGAAAATCTACCACTCACCCCATGGTGTTATGTGAAAAAAGCACGGAAAAAATCACTGTTGCCCCAGAGGAGCAGTCAGAGCAGTGACTACCATACAAATGAAGGATGCATAGCACTACAGATTTTGCGAAAAAGGCACTTCACCGACTGCGGCTCACTAGCTAGTGTTTGGATACTGCATTACCACCAGACCGCAGCACATCTCTCCGAGCCCCCCCCCCTCACTACCACCAGACCGCAGCATATTAGCCCGAGCCCGTCCTCACTACCACCAGACCGCACGCATCTCCCCGGGCCCCCGGGCTCACTACCACAACACCGCAACACATCTCCCCGAGCCCCGTCCTCAACCACCAGACCACAACACGCATTCCCCGAGCTCCCGTCCTCAGTACCACCAGACCGCAACACATCTCCCCGGGCCCCCATCCTCACTACCACCAGACCACAACACATTTCCCCGAGCTCTCGTCCTCAGTACCACCAGACCGCAACACTCTCCCCGGCCCCGCTCACTACCACAACACCGCAACACATTTGCCTGAGCTCCCATTCTCACTACCACCAGACCGCGACACATTTGCCTGACCTCCCGTCGTCACTACCACCAGACCGCAACACGCTTGGCCGAGCTCCCGTCCTCACTACCACCAGACCACAACGCATTGCCTGAGCTCCCGTCCTTACTACCACCAGACCGCAACGCATTGCCCGAGCTCCCCGTCCTTACTACCACCAGACCACAACGCATTGTCCGAGCTCCCCGTCCTTACTACCACCAGACCGCAACACACTTGGCCGAGCTCCCGTCCTTACTACCACCAGACCACAACACATTGCCGAGCTCCCGTCCTTTACCACCAGACCACAAACATTGCCCGGCTCCCCGTCCTTACTACCACCAGACCACAACGCATTGCCCGAGCTCCCCGTCCTTACTACCACCAGACCACAACGCATTGCCCGAGCTCCCCGTCCTTACTACCACCAGACCACAACACACTTGGCCGACCCCCGTTACTACCACCAACCACAACACATTGCCGAACTCCCCGTCCTTACTACCACCAGACCACAACGCATTGCCCGAGCTCCCCGTCCTTACTACCACCAGACCACAACGCATTGCCCGAGCTCCCCGTCCTTACTACCACCAGACCCAACACATTGCCCGAGCTCCCCGTCCTTACTATCACCAGACCACAAACATTGCCGAGCTCCCCGTCCTTACTACCACCAGACCACAACACATTGCCCGAGCTCCCCGTCCTCACTACCACCAGACCACAACACATTGCGCGAGCTCCCCGTCCTTACTACCACCACCAGACCACAACACATTGCCCGAGCTCCCCGTCCTTACTACCACCAGACCACAACGCATTGCCCGAGCTCCCCGTCCTTACTACCACCAAACCACAACACACTTGGCCGAGCTCCCCGTCCTTACTACCACCAGACCACAACACATTGCCCGAGCTCCCCGTCCTTACTACCACCAGACCGCAACGCATTGCCCGAGCTCCCCGTCCTTACTACCACCAGACCGCAACGCATTGCCCGAGCTCCCCGTCCTTACTATCACCAGACCACAACGCATTGCCCGAGCTCCCCGTCCTTACTACCACCAGACCACAACACATTGCCCGAGCTCCCGTCCTTACTACCCACCAGACCGCAACACATTGCCCGAGCTCCCCGTCCTTACTACCACCAGACCACAACACATTGCCCGAGCTCCCCGTCCTTACTACCACCAGACCACAACACATTGCCCGAGCTCCCGTCCTTACTACCACCAGACCACAACACATTGCCTGAGCTCCCGTCCTTACTACCACCAGACCACAACACATTGCCCGAGCTCCCGTCCTTACTACCACCAGACCACAACACATTGCCCGAGCTCCCGTCCTTACTACCACCAGACCACAACACATTGCCCGAGCTCCCGTCCTTACTACCACCAGACCACAACACATTGCCCGAGCTCCCCGTCCTTACTACCACCAGGCCGCAACAAATTTGCCCGGGCTCCCGTCCGCACTACGGCGACCTTACCCAGGCGCTATCCGTCAGCTTGCGGCCGGTGTCAGGGTCGTAGCGGTATTCTTCGAACAGGTGCAGGCCCATGCCCATGACGAACGCACCCTCCACCTGGCCGACGTCGACCCAGGGCGACAGGGACTGGCCGGCGTCCTCGTACATGTCCACCCGGTTGAAGCGGTACTCGCCCGTCAGCACGTCCAGCTCCACCTCGGCCGCCGCCAAGACGAACACGTTGTACGGCGTGGGTACCGGCGTCTGGCTGCGAGGCGGGGCGCGGTGAGGTCAGGATGGCTGAAGTGTCCGGAGCACACGGCCATGGCGGCTGGGGTGTCTAGAGCACACGGCCAAGGCGGCTGATGTGTCTGGAGCACACGGCCAGGGCGGCTAGGGTGTCGGAACGGCCGGGTTATGGTGACTGGTGGTATCGGAAGCACAAAGAGACGATGGATCATGACGGTGATAACGGCGGCTCAAGGAACAATGGGTTCGGGTAATGTGTGAGGGCAAGCGGGGTGTCGCCCCGCGCGCATTTGGCATGAGATAGGTGCAACAGCTTTCATGGCACGGAAAATGCAAGGATGATGCCAAGGAACGGAAACTTCCCGAAAACTTCCGCATCAGATTCTGCACCAGCTACGAAGCGGGTCATCAGAACAGCTCCATCAAACTTGTACCGCCCTTGCCGTTCTACATAAACCGCCAATCGCAAAACTGCCGGGGCCCACCAGACCCCTGCAAGGATGCCACTTCCCACGTCACTGG